GTGCGTGGTGCGTGCGTGCGTGCGTGCGTGCGTGCGTGCGTGCGTGCGTGCGTGCGTGCGTGCGTGCGTGCGTGCGTGCGTGGGTGGGTGGGTGGGGGGGTGGGTGGGTGGGTGGGTGGGTGGGTGGGTGGGTGGGTGGGTGGGTGGGTGGGTGGGTGGGTGGGTGGGTGGCGTGCGTGCGTGGGTGGGTGGGGGGGTGGGTGCGTGCGTGCGTGCGTGCGTGGGTGGGTGGGTGGGTGGCGTGCGTGCGTGCGTGCGTGGGTGGGTGGGTGGGTGGGTGGGTGTGTGCGTGCGTGCGTGCGTGGGTGTGTGGGTGGGTGGGTGTGTTGTTTGATTCCCCCCACATGGCGAGCGGCCGCCCACGCCCCATCCGACGCAGGATCCCCAGGAGAAGGTCAGACAAGCAGCGCTCGATCTCCTTCCCTTGGTTTGTCGTTCTCGCGGCCGTGTGGGTGTGTCATCTGCGCTGTGCCATGTAGCGACCTATGACAATGCCACTTGGCTCACATCTACAAATTGATCTTCCATTTGCTTAAGAAGATGTTTTTTTTGTTTTTCCCTTGTTGGTTTTAAACTGAATTTTTCACTACTGGATTTTTGCGCTTATTTTTTCCAGGAGTTTTAACCAAATGGAAGTGATGCTTGGGGAGCTGCACGTTGGTTCCATGCCTTTGCTGTGCATCCCTGAAATTCGGGCTCGTGAGCATCCATCGATGGGGCCACCTGCATTATACATGTCCCATTGAATCACATCGGATCCTTCACCCATATCTCCTGAGAATATGCAAGTCGCAGTGGCTGCTGGGATCCTGGCACTTCCTGGTAAACGAGTTCCGCTTCTGCAATGCTTCAAAGAGGCAACACGATTTGATGACACAATTTTGCTGAAGCGTGTTGTTTTTTCTTCTTTTTTTTGGGGGGGGGAAGATGGGATCCCCGACTTTCGGAGCATTCCCTTTCGGCTGGTCAGGTCCTTCCGCTACAATCCGCAGCAGTGCGGCTGCTCGGCAGCCTCGGGCAACCAGAAAAGCAGGTGATGGCGATGCTCAGAGAGCACGCCAACAAGTCGCCCGGCTCAAGCTGAGGGTTTTTTGGCTCGGGTTTTTTTGTGATTGATAGAATTGATAAAGTAGCCAGGGGTAGTCACAGAAAGAGTGATTTTCCGCTACAAACCTGTGTTATTCTCCTCCTCGCTACCAACTATGGGGAGCTCAGGATGAACTCCCGTTAGCCGCCAGTGCTTACAACAAGAATCACCACCCTCCGCTCCACTAACACAGGGTCCAAAATGGACCCGTCAAAAAGAAGAGGGCATTGGTGTCAAGCCAAGCAAGTTAGTAGCAAGTTTGCTTACTTGGGGTTTGCTTATTCCTAGTTTGTGAATCAAGAGTACTTTGCCCAGATGTTATCCTCCTCTCCACTTACACAAGGAAGCCACCAAACAGTCCCTTTCAGAGCAACATGGTCCAAGCCAGGACCCCCAAGTTGGTTGGGAGGGGGGGGGCAACTATTTAAGATAGTCAAACTGTGCCACACTTTTCCGCATGCCTTGTGTGCGTGGAATGAAGAAGTGCCAGCAGGGACATGCCTAGAGGCTGGTACGAGTAGTTAAAAGCTCGGCTTACCTCCAAAGCGCGTTCACTTCATGTTTGGATCACCTCGTCATATATAATATTCCCTTATGGCTTTAGACTGGCGACATGTTGGGCCAACTTGCGGCGAGTTTTGCCTTTGCGGGTCTTGCGCGAAGTTTGGAACCCTGGCAGTGAATCAGCATATGAGAAAGTGCAACCTTCGCGGGGGAACCCAGTCACTGCGAGCATCAAGCGCCTCATGTTCCATGCCTGGCTTGTTTGTACTGAGGAAACCACGCGTCCAGACGTGTCCTTTTCGAAGCCAATCCCAAAGGCAACCGACCGCTAGTTTGGCCATATGCTCTTCTGTCCAGGAGCCATAGAGCCATAGGCAAGCTTCCCAAGCTCTGAGACGTCAAAGACGTGCGTTCCACAAGGAAACCTCCCCATTCGGAACCCAGGGATCCGAATCTGTCCAGAAAACGAGAAAAACTCTTGGAGAAACGGCCCTTTTTTATGCAATGCAGGACTTTTTGTTGAGAGAGCCCCTTAAAACATGGGGATCATCACCAACCAAAATTGTGGGTATATATTGTCTCTAGTTTTCAGACTCCATACTTTCAGGGGAACGTCGGCAAGCCACGAGGGCAAGCAGCTGCTTGTGTATCCTTTTGCTTTCGTGTTCCACTGTTCAGTGTCCAAACTTGAAACTGCTTGTTGCGAGTTCCTCATGTCAGTCTAGAATCAAATTCATGTTTCCTGGCGGTTGAAAGGAGCAACAGTCTCTTCGGAGCTGCTGTAGGGCCACTTTTCCGTGAGTGGCTCAAATTCCGTTCGCTGTGACAACGCCTTTTTGTTTCACTGTCAGGTGCTTGTTCATGAGTTGGGAACTCCCAACAACATCTGGGGTCCCAACCACACCTGTTGTTTTTTTTGTTTTTGTTTTTGGTCTTTTTTGGAAAACTCGAGGTGTTTTGCATATTTCCCCTAAAACGCAGGCCCCATGACGCCCCCTTCTGCAACACCTGCGGCCCTAGAAATAGTGTCCCTTTTGCCCACGACGCCATTTTCGTCACGCAGGTGGACCTCCGACGGCCTAGCGCAGGCCGCTCGGGAGGCGCTTTGCCTGCTGGAAGCCGCCGAGCCGGACGAGCAAAACCAGAAATTTGGGCGAACGGAGCGGGGCACAGATTGGGATGTGTTGGTTGCCTGGCAGGTTTGCCTATGTGCCTATGTGGAGGTAATCTTTCTTGGATGGCTCACATTGTTACCACATCTGCCTTGTCAGTTTTGAGAGTTTGCACTCCTCCAAACAAAGACGCATTGTTATGGGCTGTTTGGAGCGAGCACGCGACCAGGGAATGGGTCCTGCCCTTTTGTTGCTTTGTATGTGAATGCACAAGAACAACATATTTAGAAAGGTTCTACGGCTTCCGTGTATGTCTGGCCCCAACGGTGGAGACAAGCTCATTTGGTCCCCAACCAGTTGTTTGGCCCGCCAGACTCAGAGGGAGCCAGCAAAAACAAGCTGCGTTTGGAAGACATGAGTATGGGTCCTTCTTTGCTGCGTGTGTTGCATATATAGCTCACGAATCCGGAATAGGAACGATTTCATCAGAAGGGTTCTACCTGAGTCCCGTTTGGGAATCATTATATGTTGTCCAGATTTGCTCACAACAAGCTTTTTCACCTTTTTTTCCCCTCGTGGCTGTTTTTGTTTAGCGGAGGCCAAAGTTTGAACTGAACAAAGCGGGCATTGCCGGATGCTGGTCAGCAGTGGCAGCAGTGATTGTCCTGGAAGTGGTCAAGTGGCCCTTGTCGCAAGACTTAGGAAGTTCCAAACATGAGCCATGATCAAAACCTGTTCAATCCATTCTTATGGGAAACGGAGGCTTCGATAACATACTCACGGAAATGGCCCGTGTTATCACAGAAACGGCGCTTTTATTCCAAATTTGCATGAGCCACGATGAAGCCCACCTGCCCAATCGGAGCTCGCCTCTCGGACGGTGTTTCCCGGAAATCCAAACGGGAAGCCAGCATTCGCAGGCGGTCCATGTCCCATCTTGAAATGCGACCAAGCGTGCGCATGTATGTATACACATGTGTAATTGATCATGTCAATGACGGGGACAGCAAGCCAAGAGATAGCTGTTCAAAGGTTGGAGCACAGAAGTCGTAGTTGTGCCTCTTGTCCCATGAGCGTGCCAAAGACAGCGCGTACCCATCCACAAGAACTCGGCACGAGTTATCTATCACTTGGCCCTAGTTGATGTTGCTGTTAGTTGTTGACTTCTAGTTGAACCACCATTTATCAATCAGAGGGGCCTTTGGAAGTACGATAGGCGACACGAATCAGGAGTCAATATACCAACACACAGCACATTGCTGGCTTCTGCCAAGTTTCCTGGACTTCTCTCTGGAAGCTTCATGGCTTTCCAAGAAAGCACGCCCTGGTTGTGCTTTTGTTCGATGGGCAGTGAGCTTTTTTTGGGCTTCGGCTTCCCTCGCCATCGTGCAGAAAAATAAACTGAACTGGGGGCAAGGTAGGGATTCGGGAAGGTTCCACAGTGGCCTAAGGAGTTTAGCTGCCACCCAAAACCTCACGGATTGAACCGATCAACGCAGAGCAAGGCGTGCACGCTGTGTCCAGTCAGAAGCATCAAGCTCATGTTGTGAGCTCAATAATTACAAGATTCAGACAGTTATGTCCCTTAAAATGAAGCCACCCCGAACGAAAGCCAAAAAGCAAGCAGCAGGGGGGAACATTGATACGACTTGTCCACTTAAATTCTCCCTGAGAAGGAATCAAGAGCTTAGTCGTTTGACATTCGTAGACACCCTATTTACAACCAGAAACCTGGCACCAATGTCGCAGGGCACAGCATTCAGCAGGGCCGAACAGCTTCCACAACACCCCACCAAGCACTCAACACAATCAACATGCAGCAACCGAACACACCACCTGCGAGCAAAAGCGCCTTGCAGTCAAATATAGGCCCGTGTCAGCTTTTTCTGAAGCGTCCGACCTTGGCTTCCCGCTTCTTGCGCCGTCGATGGGCCTGCGATCCCATGGAAGCCATCCGCATCGGGGTGCGGCTGCGGCCGCTGGTGTCCTCCGAAGCAGGGCCGTGCTGCCTGCGGACCGTAGGCGGGACTCGGATCTTGGAGTCGCCGCCCCCCAACAAAATGGGCGGATGGCCTGGTCTGGATAGATGCCATATCCCATGAATTGAAAGGAAGATGGACGTAAGACAATCGAAATGATGGGTGCACCAAAGACAAGTTAAAGGGTCATGGAAACTCCAGGTTATTCAGGATTTTCAATATTCGGACCTCTTCCAGATGGTTGGCAGAATCCTGGGCATCCGGAAAGGAGCTCTCTTTTTTGTTTGGCGGGGTAAACAAATTGTGTGTGTGTGCCCCTTTTGGCGTGTTTGAATCAATTCCTTTCGGTTGAGCTTGTTGATTTGTGATGTTTATTCCCAGCCAGAAGTTGTGATTTCGTTTGGAAGGGAAGTTGCGGCAATGGCAAAGTTGGTGAAAGCGGGACCAAGCGCCCCATGAACTCATGGCACTTGATTCTTGCCAGGCGACTTGCGCAGCGGCTTAGGGAAACTCAAAGGTGACAGGTTTGTTTTTGCTACGTGCAAATTTCATCTAGGGCACCTTCAAGTGTGTGAAGTATCATGCGAGATCGTAGCGATGCACTGCAATGTTCGTCGCAACTGGAAGCCCTCCTTGAGGTTCGGGCTCTGGAAGAACTGGATTTGGATGGTGCCCTGTTTGGGGTTGGTTTCAGTAAAAGGGAAGCCACCCTTTTTGAGGCTGCTTTTGGAGACCAATTCAAACAGCTTGTCGGCTGAGCTGTGTATACTCGGTGGGCCGTGCGTGCCGCTTAAAGTCCTGATCTTCATGCTTGTTCTCACCGCAATTTGTCAATCTGACCATGCCCATGGCCATTGGGACCTCGGGAGGTTGCAGCCTCACTCACAGTGGTTCTCCTGGCCCAAGTTGATTCCAACATGATCGGCCAAGCTGTGAGGTGACAATGTCATTCTAGTGGAGACAGATCCAGGCGGGAGGGCCTCGTTTTGAGCCCCGGCCCGGTTTGGGCTGACCTCATTTTGTGTAGCCGGGAAAAGGGTCAGAGGGTGACCATGTTGTCGACCTCCCCGTGACCACAGTACGGCGATTGACTGAATTCTTGTCTGCAAAAGAGGCATTTGGACATTGGTTAGGACGACAACGCACTATAGAGAGACATACAAGCCTTGGTTTCACACTGCGGGAGATCGGTCCCAAAGTGCCAAGAGGAAATCGATTCACTTGCTCAATCTATGATGCACGCGGCAAGACACTTTCACACACACACACACAGGATGGTATCGTTCTTGTCCCGGAGATTTTGATCACGCGGGACGCGAAACGCGAGACATGCTGCGTGCCTGGTCTTGCTGGCCAGGCAAAGCTGCCAAGGAGTTCGCCTTCGACTATGTCATGGTCACCGCCTGAGCTGGGGCTTCATCGCTCCCGTTTGGGCAATAGCAAGCGACAAATCATTCCCTTTCTTGGAGGTCCAGCCGTATGATTCGCCTAGTCCCATGAAATGCTTGCCTGTTGATGTCCTTTCTAGCCGCAGCAGCTGTCTCATTTGGCACATTCCACAGTCAGCTTGTCTGAGAGATGCCCACATCTTAGCGATGCTGTGGGAACTGAGCCCACAATTCTCATGGAGAGGGCCGGCTGGTGTTTCCACGTCTGGGCTTTTTTGCCCGGTCACCCCATGGCTCGGGGTGTTCTTGAGTTAGTTGCAACATGGGCTGCTTCTTGTTTGTCTTTTTGGTGGGGGGTCATATTAACAAAGACAGGGTGGCCTCATTTCTTGCGGAGGGATCCGACAGGTTCTTGTTTTGCCGAGGAGCTTGCTTTAAGATCCACCTGATTGAATGAACAGGCGCTCTTTGTCGCTTTTCGCTGCCAGCTTCTGGGGGAAGATTCGGCACAGAGCAGTTCGGAAGCTTTGGGAGCGCAAGCTTCAGCCAATCCTCCCCACGTGTTGTATGGAGGGGGGGGGGAAACAAGGGACCCTTGGTGTGAACATCCCCTTTTGGATCCCTTTGCCTTTGGTGTCAATCTAGAGCGAGCATCCTCGGGGTTGTTTGTTGTTTGCACGTGGCAAATAGGAACGTGTTAGAAGGTCAGGATCGGTTCCGGGAGCCACAGACCATGAAGGCAGTTTGCCAAGCATGGGCCCATGTTGGGGCTTTCCTATCGGAGACAATTCCACATATCCCACATGTTCCTTTTAGTGGCACGCCGATGGCTTCCTGACCATTTTCAAGACAGTTTGCGCAAGGGAAACCCAAAGGTCCAAGTAAGTACCTGAGGATGTACTTGGGCCAAAATGGATCAAACTCTTCGATGTCAGCCGAGGACAGCCGGGATCGCTCCAGCGCGAACTTTGTGAGCCAAGAGCCTTGGCTGCGGGATGCTCCCGTCCGTTCCCTGATGGACACCCGTTGGGGTAGACTGGCTTGGTTTCTTCCTATGGGTTTTCCTGTACCGACTGAATTTCTAGCCTAGAGTTGTTGGGGCAACCCTGACTTTGGGAACATCGCGACATCTTTGGGCTAAAGCGTTAACCGCAGGTGGTCGCTTGTCTTGACTCTTCATAAGTGTCCACTTGGGCCACCATTTTGGCTCAAGTGGACTCTGACCTTCTGTCTTGTAATCTGAAATCTTTCTTTCCCCTCCTATCAAAGCCATGTACGCCCCCGCCTACGCTGGTGCCGCGGTTGCAGAGGCCAAGGCGAAGGCAAAGGCCTCCATGGCGAAGTACCTGGCAAGCCTCGTGAAGAAGGAGGAAGAAGGATGGACCGTCTTGGCTGCTGAGGTCCCTCAGGCACCTGACGAGCGGTTCTTCTCCAGCGCCGATCAGGCCCCACTCATCCCAGCCAAGCGCAAGGCAGAGGACGAGCTGATGGCAGACTCAGCCCCTGGGGTGGCGCAGGTGCCAAACCCGCCGGAGAAGGATGTTCCCATGGAGGAACTCCTGGCGGAAGACGAGGAGGAGCTCCCGATGTCCGACACCAAGTGGCAGAGACGCCGTGATCTGATGGCGAAGGTCAGGGAGCAGGCGTCCTCGGAGGAGGATGAGGACCCCGCAGCCCCCCCGCCGGGGGGAAGCGTCTTCACCAAGGCCCTCAAAGTCTCTGAGGGCCTTTACCAATTCAGCGAGGACCAGATGGCGGGCGACTTCCCGTGTTTTGATGCGACCACGGCCACTAGGCTCCGCCGACTGCAGGCCAAGGACGTCCAGCGGCTCCTGAGAGGCTTTGAGGGCCCCCAACTCAAGCAGGGGGGCCTGGAGCGTGTGGTGGAGGCGTTCTACATCGCCAAGATGAAGTATGAGCATGAGGCCCGGCTCAGCACCCCGGGACAGCAGGTCGGCAAGCGCGCTGGCCTGGGGTATGGGGGCCTGGAGAACCGCCCCCTGGGTAAGGAGCCCACATCCTGGATCTGCCCCTGCTGCACCATGCCCTGGGTGAAGAAGGGCGCCAGGAAGTGTATGGGGTGCGGCAAGAAGACGGAGCCCATTGACATGGCGACCAACTCGGCCACCCTGGAGATGGCGGGCACGCACTGGCAGTTGACGGTGGATGACCAGGGCAATGCGGTCTGGACGGCGGCCCGGTCCGCAGGTGCCGATGGCCCTGATACGGACCGGGCCCGCGACCTCAAGCTCAGCGCCTCGGTGGATGTCAGCGAGCTGGCCACCGACCCGATGGCATGCGAGAACCCGGACCAGGCCAGCTTCTCGGACTTTGTCCCAGGAACTGCCCCATGGAGCTGGACGAGGATTTCCTGACGGCCCCAATGGGGGAGAGGCCTCCATTGCCGGGCGACAAGGAAGAGGGCCAGGAATGCAGGGCCTTCCACCCGTCGGCGGTGAAGGCTTTCAAAATCCAGACCCGGCTCAACGCCACCACCATTGCCCAGGAGGAGGCCAAGAAGGCAGACCAGGTGGCAGCGGTGGAGCGATCCGCGGCGGTCCTCCACGAGCTTCAAGGAGGGGCCATTGATGGAGGAGGCGATGGGGGCCTACTCCTCAAGAATTTGGACTTGGACCTTTTCCGCGAAAAACTGCTGGATAAGCTGGGCGCGGACTGGGGGAGGCCCACACCGGAGCTCCTCCAGGCCCAGACCACTGCGGAGGAGGCGAAGGCAAAGCACCAGGCCAGACAAGCGAAGGGCGCCCACGAGACCAGAATGCTCGAGCCCATCAAGCCTCCATTCAGTGCGTGGCCTAACGAGGTCCGAGTTGCCATTGAGACGGGGGTCTTTGAGCCGACCACGGCATGGAGGGATTTCAGCATGGACGACCTCACGTCCCTCACGGACTCTTACCTCGAAGCCAAGGCGGTCATCTCGCTGGGTAGGAACCCCTTTCCGGCGGCCCTCCTGGCAGATCTGCCGGATCTGGCGGGGATCCCCATTCCAAAGGCGGGGGGCTCTGGTGCGGCGCGCCCAGGTGCCGAGGGCCCTGACAGGCAGCCCACCATCCCCCCAGCCTCGGGCTCTGGCGCGACGAGCTCAGGTGCCGAGGGCCCTGACAAGCCGTCTGCCACCCCAGGGGGCCTGGATACCCAGGACCCGGAGGTGCAGCTCGCGGTCCTGCGCTGGATGATGAGCAAACGGGTCGGAGAGGTCCGTATCTTTGCGGGCCGCTGGGTCCGACGACCGGGCCCCGTACACGTCCCGGACTGGGCCAACAACCTCACCAAGGTGAATCCGGAGGCGCTGGAGAAGGGTACGCATCCCAGGAACCACCAGGTGGGTGGACTCCCATGGGCCAGGTACTCCGTTGATGAGTTGAACCAGCAGGCTAAGGCGGGGGACCGACCCTACCCCGAGGACCTGCGTTCCATCTTCTGGGCGGCCCCCCACGATCCGGATGAGGACTTCCACTGGGCGCGCCAGATCTCGTCCTGGACACTTCCAGGCTTACTGGGGATGTTTGGTCACAGCTTCACCCTGCGCCAGCTCTGGGGAGTCTGGGAGTCCCTGCCACTGCTTCAGGGCCCTAGGCAGCGGGGCCCGAAGAACAAGGCCCAGAATCAGATCCGCCTGGAGGGCTGGGAGACCCTGAAGGAAGACGCGCGGTGCTTCCTGAAGGAGGAGGGCCTTCCGTTTCCGCAGACAGGACCGGAGTGGCGATTGGTCTACCGGGCCATGGGCAAGGTCCTCGCGGCCCGGGCCTTCCTCACGGACACCCCGGCGGAGGTGATGCAGCTCCCGGTCCAGGACGTGGCGGACTCCAAGGAACAGATGATCCTCCGGGCGGTATGTGATGAGCGCATATCTGTCCCGGTGGAGAGTCTCCAGCAGTTCCCAGAGGTGTACAAGGCCCTCATGGACCGCATTGGAGGCCCGGGGGCCCTGGCGGAGGTGAAGGTCAACTGGCGCTGCAACACGAAGCAGTGGTGGGTCGGCGCAGTCCCCGACTCAGTAGCCCCCTCCATCTACCGCAAGCTCGGCTACACCAACGACATGATCAAGCTGATGGGCCTTGACCCCTCCGCCCCTGGGTGCCGGACAGGTGCCGATGGCCCTGACATCCGCCCCAGGGGAGGAGAGGGCGATGAGGGGATCGTTTACCCCCCCATCACATCGGACAACGTCCACGGCGTGGTGGGCAAGGACTACCGGAAGAAGAACTATCCGGCGGAGACGAAGCATGTCTTCTGGGCGCACATGGAGTGTGGCCTGGTCCTGAGCTCCGTCACCCCGTGGGAACTCATCCCGAAGACAAAAGGGGAGACCCGGGGGGGCTACATGTGCAAGTACTGCAAGGGGTACTGGCGCGCCGGGGGAGGGGGCACCCGCCTCCTCCAGATCCGGGCCGGCAAGGCCATCCTTCAGCTGGTGCTGGACGAGCCGCCGGATGGCCTGTACAACCGCTGGGTCAAGGAGCGGTTGGAGTTCTACCGCCGGGTAGAGCCCTCTGCCCCGCTGCGGGATGTCTCCGTGGTGGACCAGAAAGTCCCCCGGTTTAGGTTCAGCCACATCACCCAGACCGGCCATGTTTCAAACGCCATCTGGGAGCTGATTCTCCGGAATCCGGAGGCGGCGGCGCTCAAGCGCATTGACGACATTGCAAAGGGGGCCGTATGATCATACAGCACTGCGGCCATCCGGAACGGATTCGCAGCGCACCCCGGGGGGGACAGCTGCCGAGGGCGCTGATATCCCCCCCTGGGCACAGCACAGGCCTAGACCTGTACCAGGCGAGAAAAATTGGCGCGCTTGGGCTGGTCCGGGGTGCGCCTTGGCTCCCCTCCCTTGTTTGGTTCTTCCCTTTCCGGGGCGGCTCCCTGGGTCCCCCCCCCCCCTTTTCCCCCGTTTCGGGATGGGCTTTCCGGGGTTTTGGGGGCTCCCCTGTTGTTTGGTTGGGGTTTGCGCCTAGGAATTAGGCTCCTGGCTCGAGTGGATCACGATGATGTGGAGGCCCCGCCTCCCTTCCCCGTTTGGAACGACCTTCCTTGGGGTACCAACCGCGTTCCAGTTGATTTTGCATGACCTTGGATTTGCACCAGTGCAGTCGGACGGGGAAATCCTCGTGGCGTGCTGCCTGGAATGGGTCAAAAAGGACCAGGTTGCCAACCCGGATGCGGTGGTCTTTGACCCGCGACCGTGGACACGAATCGTGGGGCTGGCACCTGACGGCAACCATGTCCTGGTGGCCTCGGACACCTACAACTTGATCCTCGCAAGGATACTCGGCTCCCAACCACAACCGCTGGAGGAGGCGGATTTGGAGCTCGCTACTAAGACCCTGCAACAACTTCTGTTTCGTGCGGCAGGCGCCAGACAATCGCACACCTATTCTCCACTGGAAATGGAGCAGGCCATCCGGGACCGCGAGGAGTGGATCCTCTCCGGATCGATTGAGGCCCCGGATGTCCTGGCAGTGGCCAACAAGTGGCGGCATTGGAAACCAGGGAAGATCAAAACCCAATTGCCGACATCCCAACGAGCGTTGGAACAGCACTTGAGGGCCAGGTGGCTGGAACGCCTCCTGGGCTACTTCATTCCTTTCCGCCACCAGATCCCCTACATGCACCAGGTGATGGGGGCCAGGGAGCTGGAGGAGTTCGGCCACCTATTTGGAGATGCCCGGTTCCGGACCATCCGAGCACATTGCTTGGCCTATGAGGGCATGCGCAAGATCGGCTTCCAGAACCTCCCCTGGACGGCCGGTGACGTCCGGCACCTCATGAACCAGGCGGTCACGCTGGAGGTCACCCCGGCGAAGCTCCAGAAGTGGTGGGGCACTTTAAAGTGGCTCTCCATTAAACTCGGCATGCTCAACGTTGACGAACACAAACAGCTCCTGGCGAAGCGGAAAGCCATCCAAGAGACGCTGGTGGACACCCAGGTCAAGCCACAGCGCAAAGCGGTGGTTCCGACCC